TCCACGAGACCCGCGCGGAGCGCCCAAGAGTCTATGTCTGTGGCGTTCTTCCTCGAGACGCGGGAAGCTGAGCCATCGAGCTGCGGGCGTCTGGTGTCCGAGCTCTGAGGCCCGCCCCGATCGGGGGCCACGACTGTTCGATGCGATCGCGAGCGAGTGCACGCCGGAAGAGCTCCGCGCGGAGCGCCGAAAGGTAAGGTTTGTGGCGCTGTTTGTATTCGGACGCGCACCCCTGTTGAGTGGGGACGTCCCCCCATCGTATATCCCACGGTCGGGCCCCCAACTTCTGGCCGAGGCGAAGCCCCACGAGGCCTGGCATACGGGTCGACACATCCCCCGTGAGTGGTGGGGCCTCCCCCACTCGCCCTATGATGTTCCAACCTACTTTAGCCTTGATCACCAGCGGCGTCGAGTCAAGGAGCAGGGGGGATCCCTCGATCCCTCGATCCCAGGATCCCCCGATCTTCGATCCCTCGGCCCTCGATCCCTCGGGCGTCTGGAGGCCGCCCTCCCCTGGCGCTAGGTCGGGCGTGTCCCCCTACAGGCGGATTTTGGGCGAAAAATAAAAAATAGTCAAAGGAAATTCAAATAAAAAATAATGAAAGAAGGGCGAGAAATTCGCCGGCCCAACGGGCCAGAGGCGTGCTAAGATCTCCGGTAACTGGTTCACAGTATTTCTAGTTCGCGCGCGCGGGGCGGCCCCTGGGGGTCCCCGGACGAAAAGTACCCCAGCAAGGTCCCGGGAGAAGCCCCCAGAGCGCTCCAGGAGCGCACCAACAGGGCCCCGAGACGTCCCCGAGAGTCCCAAGAAGGGCCAAGAGAGTCCCAAGAAGAGCCAAGAGCGCCCAAGAGGCCCCCAAGATGGTACACCAATAGTCCGAGATGCCACAAGATCGCTCCAAGACGCTCAAGATAGCCCCCGGACGCCCCACGAGGCTTTCAAGAGCACTCCCAAGAGGGCCCCAAGAGGCAAAATTCATTGCTTGTCCTTAGGTTTTGGGGAGATTCGGGCCCTTTTCGGCCTCGCGACGCCCCAAAACGGCCCAAGAGGCCCCCAAGATCGCCCTAAGAGGCCCGACAGGCCTCCGACAGGGCCCCAAGACGGCCCAAGAGGGTTCCAAGACGGCCCAAGAGGCCTCCAAGACGGCCCAAGAGGGCCCCAAGAACGCTCTAAGACAAGCCCCAGAGGGGGAACACGACACAACATTTCGAGCCCTCGGCCCTAAGAAGCCCCCAGGAGGCGCCAAGAGGCCCCTAAGAAGCCCCAGGAGGCCCCCAAAAGGCCCTCACGAGGCCCCCAAGAAGCTCCCAAGCGGCTCCCAAGCGGCTCCAGGAAGCCCCCAAAATGCCCCCCCGACCACGCTAGCAAGTGCCAGCGATGCTACAATATGGGCAGCGAGCACAAAGAAATTCTGGGAAACTTCTGCACAGCGCTCCGTCTACCCTCCTCCGCAGACGCCTGCAAGACGCCCGAAGATACCTCCAAGAAGCGTCTCAAGAGAGCCCAAGGAAGCAAAAATGGTCGATTTCTTTTTGGTTTTTGAAAGCTGTTCAGCTCCCCGACGCTCCAAGACGGCCCAAGAAGCCTCCAATATCGCCCCAAGGCAGCCCAAGAGACCTCCAAGACGGCCCAAGAGGCCTCCGACACGGCCCAAGATGGCACCAGGACAGCCCAAAGGGCCAGCGCACAGTGGGAACCGGAACGGACATATCAAGCCCTCGGGCCCAAGCGGCGCACAGAAGCCCCCAGGTGCTCCCAAATGCTCCCAAAGGAGCTCCAAGAAACCCCAAACAGGCTCCAACAGAAACCCAAGAGGCCCCCAAGAAACCCCCAACGAGGACCCCAAAAGGCCCCCAAAAGCCCAAACGCCAGCGAGGGCACAATTTGGGCCGGCGGAATGAGCGAAGCGATTCAATAATCAAAAATAATGAAAATACAAATGAA